GAAAACCTGAAGGATTCATCTCGGAACTATGATTTAGTGGTTCATTGCTATGTTCCTTGATGGACAGATGGCTCATACATATTGTTGCTTTTCTTTGCCTGGTTGGGTTAGTGGATTGCCGGATGCTCTAGGTCGACCAGCGGCCTAAAGAGTGTATGGAGAGTACGCACTTTATGGTGACCTGTTGTACTCGGGCACAGGTTCTATTATATTTTTGTCTTCACTGCTTCTATAGAAGACGAACATAAAGTGTATCTGGCAGTTGGATGAGAAGACCCCGACTAGAGGCATTGTGATTAGATGAGCAGCTGTTGCAGTGATACTTATGAGGTACCAGTGGCGAGAGGATTGGTTGGATTTTCTTCTCGAACATGGACGTATCCTTGTATTCCACGGGAGATCATCATTGTGGTCATTGGAGTAAACCTGTGGGGGGCTTGACTTTATTTGGTTAGGTCAACCATTGGGTAGCCAATAGAAGACATTGACTTCATTCATGTTTTCGAGGGCGAAAACTCACCCCAGGGGGAAGTACTGTTATGGAAATATAAGGGGGTAGAGTTAATTATGACCATAATGGAGTTGAATATACGGATTAGTGGAAATGGACCATTTATATGGGTTGCTTATTTCTTATAGATATTCCTAGCCTGTTTATTTGCCTTATTCCCCTTAGAAATGACTATTCTATGGTCAGTGGTAGTCCTTGTACTTGAGGACCGGCCAAGGGGATTGGCTTGGCTGGGAATAGCGACCCAGGGGTCCGAATGGGTACGGTGAGCTGATATTGGGTATGTGACATTGTCGTGTATTACTGATGTCTATACTTTACGGGTGATTGGTTTTGATTGGACCAATCACTGGAGAGTAAAGGGGGTTGGTCTGCCCCCTGTGTCTGTAATCGCTTGGTTCCTGCTCCTGCGCCCACGGGCCGCAAGGCCGGGCAGCTACGCCGCACGGCTCGGGCCGGGGCGTCCCGTTGTGTGACCATACCCCCGCACGGCAGGCCCGTCGGACGCGTTCCAGGGCCCACCACGCGTACTGAGGCAGCGAGCACCCCGACATCCGGGGTCCCTGACGGACCCCGAGGACCGGTGACGGCACCGGGTGCATGCGAGCGGCCAGAGGCGGAAGGGACCAGACGGGGGCGGCATCGGGTGGCCGGCCCCCGCGCAACACACCTCCCCCATGTTGTTCCTTTCCTTTTGTGCGTGCTGCCCCATGGCCCCGGCACAACAACACCAATTTGTCTCCAAGCAACCAAGTGGCTCTGAAAGTGGACATAGGGCAGGTCGTCTAGGCAGACGGCTTAGGAGGCTATGGGGGAGCTCTGGACATAGCCTTGGATTTCTTCTTGAATTGCTTGGTGCAAGAAGTCGATGCATCTATGGATGCCATAGCGGGAAGTTGGCAATGGAGTTGGGCTTGGTACTAGGATGCAATGGACTTCGTTGCCAACTTCATTTGTTTATTGTGGCACAATTATTTTGCAACTCCTTGCCAATGTGTTTGAGTGGCTCGTCAATGAGCGGGTCCTAGAACAAGCGATGCACCACACCAAAATGGACGTTGGCCTATAAAGCCTTCCACAACAAATTAAAGGAGGTCTCGTTCTATTGCCCTATAGATTTGTTGGAGCCTAATGAGGCTAAGCAATCGAGTTATAATTATCGCCATGTTGTGTTCGTATTGATGTGCCCGGTTGGGCACGCCCTCGGACGTTTGCCTAGAGGCATGGAGGCAGGTTCCCATGGCAATGCTTACATGCGGTGTTGCAGTCCGTCAGCTGCCACTAGTTTCCGGAGGCGTTGGGGTTGCCCTGCCCTAAAGCTCGGCCATGGTAGGTTGGCCGGCTCTCTCCACCATGGATGGTAGGCGTATCCGAGGCAGTCGCCCTTGTGGTCGCGCTGTGGGCCCAGTGCTTGATGGGGATCGATCCCCAGGGCATGTTGTTGGCGAGAGGTGGCGGCGCAGCGAGATGTGGTTTGCTGGCTCATCGGAGGCCACAGAATGGGCCAAAGAGAGTAATAAGATTGCATGCATGAGCGCGCACTTATTGCATGCACGATACCCGATCGTGGGTCCAGTGTTGTCACATCAAGACAAGACAACACACGCGCACATCCAAGCACTATGCCACCATCTCCCGCTCACCCACGACCAACCCGTTTCCTCTAGACTTAATACTAGCCCCCATCCGTGTAAAGCTCTAAGTATTGCAACTTTACAGGACCATAACCTCACCAAATCTGAACGGATTTGGGCGTTTCAAAAGCCTAGGAACATTAGGAGATCCTAAATAAGCTCACTAAAAGGGCGAAAGAGAGAAATTACTGATCATCACTCTAGAAAATGTTAATTAAGCCTACCCTCAAGCAGCCACATCATATGCAGGATAGACAGACAATGGCACAACCGGTACAAAACAGCGAATAGAAGATTGCCCAAATTAGCATAACATTCAACCAATTAATGATGGGCCCAAACTGCACAAGTAGAAAATACAAGCGACCATAAACAATCCCAAAAGCTCCCTTCAGGAAGGTTGCTTCCTAATAGTAACATATAGTCACTACAATTAGTTCTAATTGACCTTATATCCAATAGTCACAACACGTATAATAAGAAGGCATCCCGAAACTGGGTTGGGAAATTGTGGTGTTCCACGATCAAGGCAGAGCTTAGGTCGAATTACCATTTGACGTAGGGCGCCCAGTTTTGGCACTCTTGAAAGTAGTCATTGTCATGACTAACCTTTCTCCTTGAGTTACTAGTTGCACATTCACCCTGGCTCTTGCTAGGTTTCCTTTTGGGAAAAGAGCAAGGAAATCTTGTTGTCGTGTTTGTTTCACGTCATCACCTCTCTCTGTGTAGTTGATTCCCAAGGTTGGGGTCCAGAACCGGCGAGCTGAATCCAAGTTCACGTCCCAATCTGCTGTTGGAATCATCTACGCTTTGCCATGTCAAATTGCTCCCTGGATTGACATTAAGCACCGGCAGGCGCGTCGATTGACACATAGAAAAGTTCTCTCCGCTCTGCGGATTTGGCGGCTGCTATGCCCCACTGCCCATGGGATGTCCTCAGCACCGAAGCAAGATCTGTGAAGTAACAGAACGCAGTGAAGTAGCTCTGTATGATCACCACTTAGCAATTAGCGACACTGGGCAATGGTCAACAGCGGTTTGGTACAGATTGCGTCTGCCACCTTTGGATGAATCTAATGCATGCCCACATCGAGTCTGTCGCCCACACTGCCATGCGCCACTACCTCCTCCGAGCAGGTGTGCCCATCTCGGTGTTGGTACCACGCTGCTCCTGTTGCCCAGCAGATCTCACCCTGGCCATGTGCTGGCGCGCTGAGTTGTGCACCATGTCGCCCGTCCAAAAAAGTGTTCAGTGTTTGCGTTGAGCATCTGAAGAGGTGTGATGCATGAGCCTGGGCCCGGATTGACCGTACACCCGGCGCTTCTGAAACATGCAATCCATGCAGTTATGGGTGTCCTTTCGTCATGTCCCTATTTGCCACAGTTCGCGGCGCCAGCCATGGCTGTGGGGAAAGACTCGGGGTGGGAGGCACAGCACCCTCGAGCGTACGCACATACGCCCATACGTGTGAACGGTCTATACGTCTATACGTCCATGGATATCACCGACAAACATCGAATCTGGTTTGTATCGGATACCAATGGCTGTCACGTCGCTTGACAAATCGGCACACGTTCCTTCAATGCAACTTCAGGATGCGAAAATCTGCATGCACTGTGTTTCATAGTAGCTCATCAACTAAACTGATGATCGGCGACTGGGTGGCCTTTGCGGAACACCCATATTCCTGACAGTATCAGCAGAGTAGCCCCTATGGAAAATGGTGCAACGTCATGTCGAGTTTGTTTGGATTGTCTCTTCTCACCAGCTCGAAAGTGCTTATTGCCGCTCAGCGATGGGCAGTGCCTTCGGCCGTTGAATATGTATCTTTAAGGATCAGCACCAGTGTTAGTGCGAGTACTCGCAGCAGTTGGCAACGCCTTATAGCACCGATGAGTTTTAGGGTAGGGCGTTGTCTTTTCCTTTGGCAGATGCAACTGGGACGGTGTTGACAGGTGCACGAGTGCCTGCACGTATCTGCATGGTACCTGGGTTGGCATGCCCGTCCAAAATTCATTTCCCATCCGTGGAGCAGCACAAATTTCCAGAGTTGCGTTTTTCACCCTTGTAGGCAATCTGCGCATACTGCATATGAGCGCTATATCCTGGATATGTGCATCGAGGACATGACCACGCCTTTGCATGAGGGTACCATATCCGGGATATGTACACCTAGGATACAGAGCGTCTGTATTCTATTCGGTATCCACGATATGGGCCAGGAAAAGGAGACATGCGTATCAACTGACGATTTCAGGTATGTCGTTCTGCATTGTTGTCTCAAGGTATAACAAACATGGTTTCTGAACAACAGCCCCTCATAAATGTGGTGACTGGATGTGTGCCTGGACTCACGCCAGGACACATCCAGTTGCGCAACTAGCATGCTGGTGGCAATGCGGCATCCATAAGTTGCATCACTCAGCCCTCCGCGCCATCCTTTCAAATACTCAGCCCTCAAAGCTGCTCCAGTCGATGCTCTGTACACATTTCCGGCAGTGCTGGGCTGTTCGCTCAAGTTCTGCGATGTCATTACATTGAACGTGTTCCTGGGGCTCCCATATATAGCGCATCCACAGCGCATGCACCCATGTCGAGTGTAAACCTGGGGGCAAATTGCCTTGGCGATGAAGGCAATCCATCTTGCTGCGAATTTGAACTCGACGTCATTGCATCGAAATTGCAATGATTGGATTTGCACCAGTTCAGTGAAAGGGCTCGCTTCAAAGCAGCATGACATGAAAGCAACGTTAAACCGTGGCCAATTCCTCACATCCTCTGGCACGTGCAACACACCCGGAAAACACCGCAAACCCCCGCCAGCGCCGGACTCCGTAGGACCACACTCCGATCGTCAGAGCCCCAAGTACTCGACCTTCTCCGAGATGACGCCTACCTCGTTCTCGTCCAGCGGGCCCCAGCCCACCGCGCCAGCGTGCGCCTCCACCTGGCCCGCCGTCTTGACGCCCGGGATGGGCGTCGCCCCCCTGGCCACCAGGTAGCTCAGCGCCACCTGCGCCGCGCTGCGCCCGCCGTTGGCCACCCCGATGAACTCCATCAGCTTGAGCAACTCCGCGATCTTGGCATCCCCCCCGCCTCGCCTGGCCAGTCTGCCCCCGTCCAGAGGGCTGTACGCGACGACCCGGACGCCCAGCTCCCTCGCGCGGTCCAGCAGGCCGGACGTCTCCGGCTCCCGGGACAAAACGCTGTACTTGACCTGGTTGGTCGCCAACTGGATCCCCCTCCTCTCCAGCAAACCGTGCGCCTCCTCCATCTGCGCCAGGTTGTAGTTGCTGACGCCCACCGCATTGGTCAGCCCCAAGTCCATCGCCTCCTCCAGCGCGTCCATCAGCGTCCCCTGGCCGAAGGTCGGAAACGGGAAGTGGATCGACCACAGGTCCAGCCGCCGGCCCCCCATTCTCTCCACGCTCGCCTTGCACGCCTCCACAAGCTGCTTGCGACCCGTGCGGAAGCCCCCCCCCATCAGCATATTGGTCCATGGTATTGTGAACACCTTGGAGCCCACGAAGGCGCCGGCCTGCCCCCCCGCCTCCGCATCCTTGGCGAACAGCCCCAGCAGGTGCTCGGCGCTCTGGCCCACCTTCCCCGACTTGTAGCCGTACACCTCCGCGGTGTCGAACAGCGCCACCCCGCGCGTCACCGCGGCCTCGAAGGCCTCCCGCAGGTCCTTCTCCCGGTAGGCTGTGTTGAAGCCGTAGCCCTCGTCGCCCCAGGCGATCGTGCCCAGGCCCAGGCTGGGAAGGCCCTCGGGGAGGGTACCTCGCAGATTGGCGGCGCAGCGCACAGCTCCTCTTGAGCAGGTCAGATTCGAAGCATTCGACTTTCTCGGGCCGGTGGCAAGGGCCGGACGCCCGCCAGGGAATCCCGCCGTTGTCGCCATCGCTGATCGGCGGAATCCACCGGGCACTGGAGCACTTACCGCCGGCAGGTAGCGGCCGCTTGGAGACCTTTAACGACCGCTCGTTCGAGAGCTATCTGCGGCGGGGAGAGGGGGTTGTTTTTGAACGCGGCGCCCGGCATGCACCGCGGATGGTCATCTGCACAAGCAAACAGGCGCGTCAGTGGGGCGCGAAGCTTTGAGAGCGGTGGCGGCCACCGATTTCCGCCCAGCTGTGGGCTCACGTCGGCCCTTGTCGGGTCCTCTGAGGCGTAAAAGTTGAGAGCCGCCTTGTTGAAAGCGGCCAGCAAGCATTGATCTCAAAGGCCCATTGCGAGTCCTGGAAATAATCAGAGCGCGGTCCGCGACCGAGGAGCCCAAGAGAACAGAAGAGGCGGCGGCCAGGGCGGCGCTGCCGACGCCGGAAGGACCACGAGAGCCTCGAGCGACATATCGCCAAAGCTCAGCCGATCTTTGCGCACCAGCAGGTCATGTGGAGGGGGCGTGGGGTTTCCGCCTAGCCGGTCCCCTGGACCCACCCACATGTTCACACATGACAGGGATTTACATTCTGACCATTAGTTTCCATGGTCAGAACGGTCATAATGGTCATAATGGGGTGGTTTCCTTACGAAGTGCAATCTCCGGCAACGGCAGGTTGTCCAAACATAAGTGGGTACAGCAGCCAGGGATTGTCAACGTGTGCCCATGAAAGCGTGCAGCACATTATGTATAAGGTTCGATGAAAAAACTGTGCACACAGTGGTGCAGAAGGCACTCAGTTATTGGCGGGAGATGAGAGATGCGTCACAGTGCATGTTCCCTTGAGGGTAAAGTGATATGTTGCAGTAGTTGTGTTGAGCACTTTGGTGGTTTTAAACTTGCTGTTAGTCATTGTGCCACATCAGCACAATGATGAGCTCGTGACTGGTGTACGGCAGCTGACTGGGACCAAGCCACATTTTGTCGGTCAGGAGAACATGGACAGCCACTCGGCGTTCTTAAAAAGCGAGAAAGCACAGTGTTGCAAATTGAGTTTTGGTGATGACAATTATGAAATCAGTCTACGAGAAGGCAGACGTGCTTTGTCCTAAAGGAAGAAGAAAGAACGCCAAATATATGTGGCTATGCTGCCATACTGGTTAGTGAGAGCCATATCCTATTTTGAGATGATGGCAGCCCTGACTGGCGCACATTATGGCAAAAGGCACCTTCGAAAAGGGCAGAATACCTGGGGGAAGCGCTGGACACTTCATCAAAAAACTAATGCGATCGGTGATGGATAGATTACTAAAATGTAAGCCATGTTGCAACTGCTGTACGGCAATAGAATATACCAACAGGGACAGTCATTCTGCTTTGATAATGACTCACATTTACGGTAGAATCCTGGGTGGAACATGCAGTTTCAAGCGGGCTCCAATGGTGGGTTGCAGTTGCGCCGCAACGCTCAGCCAACGATGATGATTAGGTGAATTGACGAACGTACGAATGTCGTTCCGCACCTTGGGGTGCGCGCCCAAGGCTGCCATGCACTAGCATGTGTCACGGCAACTTAGGATGTAGTACGATAACGTTGGGCACGGAGTTGCAGAGCGCCTGTGCGCACACGGCGGCGGCGACTGGCAGCGACGCACTCGGACATGGCTGAGAGAACATGGCTGCCAATGCTCGAAGGCAAAGGTGACGATGGTGGAATCGAATGAGCTACGTTACGTTGCTTGCATGGTAGCGACCTGCCTCGCCGCACATGGGTTTTGCATGTTCACGAGGAGTTGCGATGCGCCCAAAAGGCACTTGAATCCACGGCGTGCGGGACTGCTAGGCGAGGACCGCATCTGAAGGCCTGCTGAGCGATGGGGGGCACGATCGAGGCGCTGGCGCCCGTGGCGGAGGCATGGTAGAGCAGGCGAGGGCAGATCTGGGCAATGGTGATGAAATCGATGCTGAACGATAGGGATTGGCTGATGAGGCAACAGCGAGTGAATCCACTGAGCTGGGTATGATCTAATGGTTGCAAAGCATAGCTTATTTGATGGGGCAGCCGTGGGGGCAGCACTTGACAGCCGCTGATGAGTGAATAGCACTGATCCCAGGATCAGTGGGAATCATTGGACGTGAGGGACAATGACGGGAAGCAGATACCAATAGTGATCCGGGAAGCTGATATGACTGACAAGGGATGATCCAGAAAGCTGGCCAATAGTAATCTAGATCCTCGGAGAATATTCTCAAGATCCTTGGGCGAGGGGGCAGCCAGACGGAGCTATAAGTAGGGGTCCTGCAGAGGGTTTGCTGCAGCCACGCACCGTGGGAACTGGCTTTCGGGCTCTTGTTTTGGACGAAAATGTAACATATACCAGGTTGACCGCGGAAATCTTGGAGTGCCTCCTTGTGAGTAAAAGTCTAAGTGCCGTCCAAGTGCAGTCGTTTCAAATGAACGACTTTGCGAACGTGCCAGGGGACGAATCTGAAAGCGCGGGCACTGGCCTATTGAAAGAAGAAAGCGAACGTCCGATGCCCTCAAAGCGCACAGGTATGTGTCGTAACTGCAAAGGAACGCCGGTTCAGTGACCCGGTGTGCTGACCACGGGCGGGTTGAGCCATCGTCATCACAGACAAGTTATCGGCGACACTCATGTGCCAAAAGTCGTTATAGGATCTCCCTTGCAAACACTCCAGGATCGATCATGCCGAAACACCAGAAAGTGACCCCTAAATCCGGCTGCCTATCGCCGATCAGGGCATGAGCCAGTCTGAAATAGAGCGCTGCCCTCCCCCTAGCTGCTTCAGACAACCTGTATCTGCTGGTTAACTGCGTTGTCATCCCTCAGTCGAGGTGCTGCGTGGTGATCGACGTGAAACGATGAGCTGCGATATTTGTGAAGTGAGCCATAGCCTGTTTACATGTCAGTTATACGTCAGCTAGCTGCGATGAACAATGGTCGACGCGCAATCTGGGCCGGCAAAAGCTGAGCCAGTCGGCGGAGACATTTTGGCTCCAATGATCAGCATTGTTCGCTCAAAAACACTGGATTGGGGTGCCTCGCTTCGGCAGCACCTGTGTGAGGAAGTGGAGGGCTTGAATCCTGACATTAGTGAGGAGGCGGCAGCAGCTCACCAGCTATACGGGCAGCTGCGATGGAGGCTGCTTTGATAGTGGCACAGCACGAAGAGCACAAATGTACCAAATAATGTGATTTGTCGTTCGGCCACAATTGTGTGTGGTTGTTCGCCACCTATTCGTGAGCTGATTTTCCCCTGCCGCTGGGGAGAGCTGCGATAATCTTAACTTCGAGGAGATGCGATCAACGACACATGTGCACAAATTCTGTTTTCTGTCAAGAAGAAATTTGTAGCATGTCAACGGGAAGGATGCGGAAAAAGGGATGTCTCCCAGGCAAAAGCTTACATCCACAAGTGTTAAAGGCCTCCTTGGTTTTTTGACCAATTCCTAACATTAGACTGCCATCTTGTAGAACACGGCCTCCAGTTTGGGGTTGTTGGCACTTCTGCGATTTAACAACATTTGGCATTGTGTTGACGGAGGAGAAGCGCAGGGGTCTGAATGGTCCATTTGGACTGAATGTGGAGATCTCGCTTTCCTTTCCCATCAGCACATTCCATAGTACACAGGTACAGATCTGTGCCAACGGAAAGACATTCTCTTCAACATCTATTGACGGAGTCTCACGGTGTTTCACTTTCTAGGAGTGTCACAGACCGGCCAGTAATGAAGGTTCAAATGGTAGGCGTCTAACAGGTGTGAGCTCCATTATTTGCCCGAATGCATCGACTCCTGTCCTTGCTCAAATACAAACAAATCACTGACAACTGTGAACTAGTAGTCCAAGCAATGTTCAGACGAGGCCTGGCTAATCCTGCAATCTCAACCGTGTCTTTAACGCCATTGTTGTTAGTGTGAAGACAGCCACTGCGTCAAGTCTCAGTATCGTGGCGGACCAAGTATCGAAAAGACAGGATAATTCCACATGTTTCTCTATGCCCTGCCTCCCAACTTGTCCCAAGAGGCACAACAAAATGGAAAGAAACACAGGGTGCAGGAGCCTAAGATCCTCTTTCGTACTCCAGCCTTGAGGGACTGAAAACAACGACCCATCGCCGGCCTTCAACGGCTGTTGCACCTCATCCGCAGATATAAAAACACAACCCCGCCGCACTCCCAGCGACGGAGCCACTGGTGCGAATGCGGATGTGCTTATTCAGGCACCCAGAAGTCCCACAGCAGCATCAGTCACACCCCCACGCCTGCCCTCCATTATTTCTGACACGCCCTCTGTGCATCCTCCGGACGACATCTGGTTGAGGTGCTGTGAACTCTGGCGCCCCGCCCCCAATGCCTCATTGCCCTCAGGCACGCCACCGAATGCACTGACGTCGACCTGCATGGTTCCTTCCACCTCGGCCAACAAGGGCGCATGCATGACGATCCAAAAGCACGACAGGACGGTGACGAACAGCATGACGTGCACCAGGGCAGTGCTCCAAGTCAGCTGCGGCGAAGCGGGGTTGAACCTGGTCCGGGCCCTGTACTCAGCCACCCACAGCACGTACGACGGCAAGCAGAGACCGTACACCAGCAACATGACCACCACGATATCCCTGCAGCAGTCGTATACCGGGGGCGTGGGCGTGGCCACGGCGGCGCCCGTGCAGAACGCGCTGAGCCACCGCCACACCGCCACAATGTAGGGCCCGCTGTCCGCAGTGATAATGCCCTCCACGCAGGCGCGGTGGGGGACGTGCAGCGCCATGTAGGCCACCGTGGGCACCTGTACCAGCAAGTGGTGCCTTGCAAACAGAGGGTGCGCGAAGCTGTGGAACAGCAGGCCCAGCGCGCCGGTGTTGAGCAGCAGGAACCGGAGCAACGATTTGGAGTCCGTGACGGGCTTCCTGAACCACACGGTGGACAGGAACGCCAGGGGCAGGCTGCCCAGCAGCAGGCGGGTGGCGATGATGAACTTTGTCCGGCGGCGCGGTCGCGCCCCCACTTCCAGCGCCGACCACAGCCGGTGCATGAGCAGACATGCGGCCACGGTGGCCGCCCCGGCGACGCCCCCGCTCGACAGGCGCCCGAAGTCCAGGTAGTCGTCACGCAGGCGGCCCCAGGCGAAGGCCAGCACCACGATCAGCACGAACCTGTGGCGCGGGCAGTCCACCGGGGCGAAGTGGCGGCTGGCGTACTGCTCGCAGAACCGCTCCTCGTCGTCCCGGGAGGAGAACCAAAGCCCGCTGAAGGGCCTGGCCTCGAGGGCCACCGGCAACAACGGGTCGTCCGCCGGCATAGACCGATCGATTAACAGACCCGCGATCGGCAAAAGAACTAGCACGATGCCCTGGGTCCGCTGGTGGCCGCCGTCCCTGGAAGCTTATGACGTCCCACCATCCCCCGAGACATAGTCACCTGCGCACCCCTCCTTATGCTCAGGAAATCACATCCTGCGCACTCTCAGGGAACCGCCCTTGGCTGGTGCGAGGTTGTACCGGCCCTGGCGGCCCTGTGGACGGCCTGCTGCTCAGTGGACTCTGTGTCTGGCGCATTGCGCCGCGGCGGGACGAAAAGGCGCCGTATAAGGTGCGGACAAACCCGCGGCCCTTGAAAGTAACGGGGGGGCAATTCCAAGGTGCAGTAGGGGGCGGGGGCCAGTGACACGGGCGGCGGCGCGCCCAATTCTCACTGCCTCGTCATGTGAGCAACTGAGTGAAGATGAGTAGTGGGTCTTGTCATCAATACAACCACTGATGTTGAGCTCAGTGGTGGTCATGCTTGGGCAGTAGGGTGGTTTACGTCTGGCATGTACGCTGTTAATAGTGCCAGGGTACCGCCCGACTGGGACGCTGCCCAAATCAATCGCCAGCGACAGCGAGAGCGGGAAGTGCAAATGGGCAAGCTCACAGTGCACAGGTTCAGCCTGGACCAGCAGCTCCCAACACTCCAAAAGCTTGGTGCACCGCAGCACACTCTTTTTGGGCAAGACGAGGGTGTTGCAATTTTCTCTATCGACCACCACAGGTTAGATTTGAGGATCATGAATTGGTGTGCTCGCGGTACTGTGCCATAATGTGCTCAAATTACCGCCAAATCCATGCACTGCATGGCATGCAGTAGAATGTGCTGTCAAGTCGCTCCGCCACAGGGCGCTCTTCAAGTGGACCGCAAATTCGTTCAGCATCTGAACTGCAGATATCACCGAAAATTGATCCAGTTTTGAAAACTAGCAAGACTCAGCTTGGAGCTGAAACAATTGGTGCAACCATTCTTTCTCCATGTTCAATAATTAGGGCGTTCTGGAGTCATTAGATTTGGGTTGGTCACTCTCAAGATACTTGTTCCAATGAAAACGCATCCCTTGTTCATACTGGCTTGGGTACCCGTCACCTCTCAATCAGCGCACGTCCACATTCAATAAATAGTATCAGACCGCATCAGAACGCAGCAGTGCATATCTTGTCATATCCATCAAATCTGAACCACAACATTTATTTCTTGCCCTATGAACCCAGTCCCATAATTTTCATTCGGTTTTCTACGTCCAGCAACTGAAGCATCTGCCTCTCCATGTTGAAGCTGGATCAAATATTTTTTATTGCGTCCTATCTGCAGAGTAATCACATTTTATTGACAACTAACCAAGCTGTTCTTCTAGCGTGCAGCAGTCTCACGTCTTAAAAGACGTTGCTGAGTTGCCATGGTATTTTATCAGCTTCCCAGCATAAAATGCCCATCAAAACAAAATCGCTTGCGGAAACGACGTATTTTCTACTTATCAAACAAGAAACTTGCTCCCAAACCGCAAGCATTAGCAAACCCTGTTTCTTGGGCTCTTGCCGCCATTGCGCATACATTCCAATGCAACCGCAAACTTTCCGGCGTCCCCAAACTTCTCTTGTCCCGACGTTCGCGGCTGGGACGGATCTTTCTTGACATCGCGTTTTCCGGGATACTGACGCCTTGAGTCTTGTGGAAAGTGCCTCTCGTACGATCAACATCCGGCATCTTGCGTCGAGCACTGACTCCGACGCCGACCAGCGTGGATGAGAGGATGGTCAGCCTCGCATCGAACGCCGTATATGAACTATGGTTATGTACGGCTGTATAGTCGATCGCACGCGATGTATGAGCTATGACATATATGACTATATATTCGTTGAATTTTGCCGGACTTTGGAGGAATTGGTTCCAGATTTGGCGAAGTTACAACGCTACATGGCGGCCGGTTTGCGCCCACCCTCGCTGGTGCATTAGAGAACGGGTCCTGCAGCGACGACCCGAGACGAGCAGCGGCATTCCTTCAAGAAGGAACGGTGAAAGAGAGCGCTGCGAAATGCTGGGCGTTCCGCCACGTTTCCTCAAATGGAGAATGTAGAATCTACATTTGATCAAATCAGATTTGATGTTTCAAACATCATGTCCTTTTCTGTCTCATGCACATTCCATTGCCGTGGGGTCCATGGCGTGTCCGTGGTGAAACCGAAATCCCAGAAAACGTTCCAGAAAACATCCCAAATTCTCAACAAGCATAAAAATCTCAAAAAATCAACTCCTAATAAAATCCCAGCCAAACAGTCCCTATTCCCAATTCGCTGACTGCAATTGGCACAATTGTGCCTCGCTATCTCCCCCGGCAGTTGCATCAGCCAGGTCCTGCCATCGACTCCAGCTGCACCGCCGACCAACATCCTCGTGCTTTCGCCTCGGAATCATCCAGGCATATCGCCCTGTGCTGCATTTCCTGTTGCCTCCGTGCTTGTTCCTGGCAAGAGAGGGGTCCCATCTCCACCACAGCTTGGCCGCATCGCTGGAGGTGGACGTTCAATTGTTCAACGACGCCCAGTTGAGTTAGCAACTGTGTTTCGAGCTTGGTGTGTGCTCAGGCCATGCACTTCGCGTTTGAGCGCGCAGATGTTTATAAAACGTGCCTCCCCTCACAATCCTGAAAGAAGTTAGCCATTTCTCGCGTGAATGCACAATCTAGCAAAGTGATGGTGGTTCTGATGAACACGCCAACGTTACTCGAACAGTTCATTGTTCCGAGGGATTGGCGCTGCGCCGCATCCTCTTTTCCTTGGACCAGATCAACAACGTCATCGAATTAGAGCAGGGAACATTGTGGCTTTGAAAAACAGGCCGAGGAGATATTATGGGCATCGGATGCAAGTTGTGTGTAAACATTATTTCGATATTTGCCGTTGTATGAGAGACGACTGGAAATATGTTCTTAATTGCGTTTCTGACTGAAGAATCCTTTTCCCGCTCGGCACGCACGCTGGACAAGCGACTTAAAACGTTTTCTCGCAAACGTTCCTTGCGCACAATGCTCAAGACCTTCAACTCATGGTTTATATTTAATCTAGTAGGGAGGCTGCCCGCTGACCGAGGGTCCCCAGGGTCCACAGATCCGTCGGCTCACGTTTCATATGCAGCCGATGGGTCCCAAACTGCTGAGGATTGCGACTTGCAAACACAGATCTGGCACTGCCCTGTACTGCCCTGGTACTGCCCAGAGCGCCGGGCGCATGCCAAGCGCCTTCCACAACACGCTCATCAGAGAGTCATTGACGTTAACCATCGGCAATGGACGGCGTCCCCCGAAGCTTGGGCCCCGCTTTTGTCATCGTCACCACCATGATCAACATGAAATTGTATGCAACGGGGCAAGCAGGTCGCTGTCAGCTTCTATTTTGCCGAGCGAATCGGTGTCCACTTTCGTTACGTTACTGCTGTGCGCCTCTGCGTTCAGCACTTGCATTCATGAACGTGCGGCAGCGTGACAACTGTCGTGGATTGGCCTCCCCGTTGGCGCACGAGAGCCCACGGGCGCGGTCGAGACAACAATCCAATCGGCGACGGCCAAGCCAGGCAGGCAGACCGTGCGCTGCGGGCAACCCTGGGCGCAAAGCGATGGAAGTAAAGGGCCAGTCCCAAGAGGTAGGCAGCGCCGGGAGAAAAGGCACCATTTGGGTCACGGCTTGGGCGCCATCGTGTTCCCACCGCGAAAGGGGCTGGACGCCATCTGGGACACTGACCAGATGGTGACGTGCCCGCCAGGCTGCCAGGGTGCTGGTGGCTTGGGACTTTGACTGGAGCTTGATCAACGAAAACATCGACGACGTGATCTTGAAAGGGATTGGCGCCCAGCAGCTGTTCAAGAGGTCCGACGCGAGCTCAACGCCGAAATGCCCATTCGCCCCCAGCTCTGCTTGGCGACGCTGTGCCAGTCTTGTTGCGCTGGGTAATTTGCACCCAGCTTTCTGCAATATGCATGCACTTGTTGCAGAACTTCTTGGTCAGAATAGGGCCCACGTTGGCTGACAAGTTGAATTTGATTTGGGGCTATTCTTCTCTAAGAGTCTTGAGGACCTTGTGGACAGCTACACGATACTGAATGCTATCTTGTGATCTACACTCAGCAGAAAGGCACGTGCCATGGTCAGTGTGTCGTTTCATGGCGCTATAACAGAGACGTTCATTCGTCCATTATGTTTGACAGCGACCCCACGAAGACATTTGACATCCGATCCACTTTGAGTGCATTTGTGCCAATGACATATCACATGGGCTACATAAATGCATCTGCGATGGGGCCCTCTCAGCATCCACACTAGCCGTTCCAACGATATGTGAGATTTGCTCATGCTTTCAATCCAAAGTAGGCACTGACACCTGAGTTTTACTTTGATCATCAGCTTCCTGGACAGTGGAATCACCTGGCACCAGAGTCTGGCTAATACGCTTGCAGCGGCGCCTGGTGAATTGGGCGTCTCAGAGCAGGACGTCCTGGATGCCTGTGTGTCAGCACCGTTGAAGAGGTCTACAATAGAGGTGAAGAACATCTTGGCTGGGTGGATGAATGTATCCATAGCAGCAAGATTGCATACGACATGCTGTTCAGGCACATATCTCTTCTGAGTTCAGATAATCAGAAATCAACATTTCCTCTGGTGGTCAGCAAGGAACTCACAACGCTTGGCAAATGGAGTACCCACAATCTTGTTTCACAACAGCACAGAAGTCTCGACGGGAACAAAACAATTCATGCGATGTGCACCAACTTGTGTTATTTTTTTGGACTTCATTAACATTCACAAGGCGCAGCAGAACCCTTGCATTTCGAATGCACTTATTGCTATATGATCATCCACTATATTGTTCTTCCACATCCAGTGCTTTACTCACCACCCATTTGTGCCATGCCAAAATGATCATCTGAGGAAAAGGAAAAAGAGCAAAACAAACAGAATTGCAGTTTTAGTTACAGGTGGTCACCATCTTGCAAAATGGAAGTATTGTGCAAGCCTTGCATATGGTGTAGAAGATGGTGGCACTCGGAGTGCAGCATGAATCGCATGCAGCACAGCAACAAGGGTGCTGACACACCCAGGATCGGCTGAAGATCCACAATAGAGACTTGGTTAAGTCTGTGCTGAGAGGCTAAAACACTTTCCAGCATTCACAACGAGCCACCCAGGTGGCACATTGCCTCCTGTAGCTTGTCTCAAAACACTGGGATAAGAGATCCCATGACACCCCAATCCTAAGGATTTGATGGTGATGGTCTTGTCTCTGCTGCAAAGAATATGCGAACATCGATTGGGTGCAAAATGAACAAACATGTGGCAGTGCTGGCACTGTCTGCTGGCATGCTGCGTGCTGCACTATTGCATAGTAAATCCATTCATGGCTGTTTCATCTTCCTCCACAATATTTATTGAAATGAGAAAAAATGTTTCTCAGCACTCCTCTGGGCGTTTCCGTCCCTGGCAACGTTATGAAACTGGCTTTTGCACTGCAGAATATTGTGCTGTAGCCTCTGCACCAGGAAAGTATGCAACATGCATCATAGCCAGCTTGGCCTATTCTGTGGTGGTCTTGATGGGCTCCATTCGCCCCACATCACTTTCAGGGACTAGGCAACGGCTTGGTTCCGGGGCAAAATAGTTCAACAGAAGCGAAATTGTGCCCAATGTCCAGGATTGACATGGCTGCCGCTAACACTGATACGACAAATATTAACTCTTCGCTCGTGTGACTGTTGTAGTCTCTGCTATTCTTCTGTTGTCAGCTGGCCCAGATAATAGATATGGCTATTTGGTGGCTAACAGGTCTCATTGTTTTATTATTGGCTTCCTTGCTTTGTTGAGTGTTTCAATGTGGGGCTGATGGGCTGCATCAGGGTTGTCTCTGTACTTTTCCATCGTATCTGCAACTTTGTGAATTGTTATTAATCATATTCACCTCAGCAAGCGTGCCATTCTCCCTTCACGCAATCCACAGGCTCTCGTTGGATAACCCTGGGATGATGCACCAAAGTACTATGCGTACCGTGCTTCATGTTTATCTGATTACCTGCCCAGGAGGACGCCTCACCCACCTAAACATCTGTAAGTGGACCTCTAATCGCTGCCAGCTGTCCCCAGGTGATCAGGCGCCTGGCATCGCTTGATAACTGCGACCAGATCATTGTGAGCGATGCCAACACCGTCGGCATCGCGTCGGTTTTGAAGCATCATGGGATTGAGGTGTGCAGCATTGGCGCTGCTGGGGTGGTTGAAGTTGCAGTGGTCAAGCGATGGATTAGCAGATGAGATTAAATAGTGTTATGAGATGTTCCTGTAGTCTGACTGCTGTGTTGTGATAGCATGTTCAGACTGAAGCATCAAAACATGTGCGTGAGAAAAACTGTCGTTGGCTCAGTTGAATTGGCTGTGATGTAGTGGGATGAAAGTGCAGTTCCATGATTCTGCAAGTCTGCGGGATCCATTTGTGGTGGTGTTCGACCTGTTCAAAGAATGGCGTCAATCTGTGCCATGCCACACACAAAATCCTCATAACGTGCCGCTGCAATTTGAAAGTTAGCGAACGTGGCAAAGCTCGTTTGCGCACCTGTTGTACCCAGCCCCATGAAGCCACAGCTTCAATGTACCGTCGAAGCTCAGAGCACATTAACGGTATCGTGATTTCCCCTTCCCAAAGTGACGCCCTGTCCATGACGAAGAAGCACTTGCGCACAAGGGCCGCTGGTGGCAGCTTAACGAATGCTAAGTCAACTTTTGAGCATCATTATTCACTTCTAAAAGGCGATATGAAGGAAGCAATGGCTTCTGTGTGTACGCAGCACTGCCCTTGCGGCACCTTCGCCCAGAGCGGCATTCCCTGTTGGGAACTCGCAAGGCAGCGGGAGCGAAGTTTCTTCGGCATTGGCGGTTGAGCTGGCTGCCAATCAATGCAGCGCCGTTCTGATGATCGTGTCGTGTGGGCAGGATTGCTTCCTGGACGTGCACACCAACCCAGCCGTTTTCCGCGACGGGGCGATGCAGCTGTCGCCGTACCATGTGGCCCACGGCTGCACCACACTGGGGGGCGCAGCCTGCCCAGCCAACATGTGCAAAGGAAAGGTGTGGTCCCGGATGGCGCACGCCCAAAGCATGGCGCCAAATGCGCAGATGAATCAAACCTTGTCTGCATGCTGCATGGTATTAAATGGGTGGATGTGGTCTGTTTGCGACGGACCGGGCGAAACCGTGCGTGAAAATGAACATGGGGCTTGCCTACGTGTGATTCTTGAGTCTTGCAGGACGCCAGACCTATGCTGCACCAATTAGTACACCAATTTGTGACCAGGGTCCTCCTCAGGCTGTTACTGGGAATCGGTGGCGAGGTATGTGACTGCCTACCTCGATGTTGCTGCAATACCGGGAGTGCCGGGTATCATGTATCCTTCAAGCACGGAAACTGCATTCAGGCACTATTCCACAGCTTTCGAACTATGGCAGTCTGTGCGAAGAAACAATGTTGTGTGTTCGTAGCCTGCATTTTGGCACATTTGCGGCCAATTTTGGGCTTGCGGTGCACATACATTTGGAGAATAATGAGCTGTGCGCAGTGTGCACACCCCGTTACTCTCCGAGCCGTACAGCCCGTTTCTTGAGCATTCACAGCATTGATGACATAAGGATAGCAGAGACTATGGTGCATTACAGCCCCAGTTTCCATGCCCGTTGACGTCAGAGCCCAAACCTAAAACAGAGCAAAACGCAAAACCGGCTCTAAAGCGGCTTCCGCTGCAAAATCCTCCCCCAAACACCGGCCAAAAAAAGAAAGCTGCCAATACCCCCACAATGGGATTTTCAAGCAGCGGGGCTGCGAATGTCCGGGCTGTAGATACGCATGTAGAACGGCGCTGAAAAACAAGCACGGGCTGCCAAACATATATATAATCCATACATATATAATTTACATAGAAATTTGAAGTGCCACGTGCATGCCAGGCCAATGTTGGGACGGTGCGTGGCGTCGCAATCCGACCGGCTTCTTGAGACAGGCGGACCACCAATCAGAACTCTGCCCCAACGCAATGGAGGCTTCTCCCTTGCCAAATCCCTGACGTCCAGCTCATGCCGCATCGCAGATCCTCGACGGACTGCTCTCCAGCAGCCAATACGCCATGGCGGCCTACGTGGGCGACGGCAGGGGCGACTACTGTTCCTGCACGCGCCTGGGCCCCCGAGACCTCATCTTCGCTCGAACGACGTATCCCCCCAAGCCAGTGCACCCCCCGGCCCCCGAATCAGACGCGCCAAAAGCACCCAGGCCATGCCCTCTCCTCGCCGCCCTAAAGTCCAATGGGGGGCAAATCGTGGATGGCGACAAGGAGGGGTTTCTTAAAGCTGCAGCAGGTGCGGTGGGACGGCAAGACGAGCCTGGCTGGAACGCACGCGGGTGCAGGGACAGGATCGAGAGTGCTGTGGTTCCGTGGGCTGGGCCTGACGACCTGGCGTCGCTGCTGTTGATTCTGGCGAGCTGTTGGTCGTCGCAATCCAGTTAGCCTTTGGTGTCCCACATGGTCACGACAGTGGCAATTTGACTGACCCTCACGTTTTCACAGTGAGGGAGTCGGGACAGCGGGAGCAAGCGCTTCCGGCTGGAAACAGCGCATCGCCTCGTAGACGCAAGGACAATGATTTGTCGCGTTGGGGTGCATGCGATCGGTGCTGATTTGCGCCAATTGGAGCTCGCTGAGGGGTCGCAAGCATCTTGTGCGTGTGTGTGTGTGTGTGTGTGTGTGTATGGCATGAAATGAAACATTACGATAGAAATGGAAGTGGAATGACGGTGGGCCGCAATGAAGGGAACATCAGGTTGACCAACAACAAAGAAGAAGCAGGGCAAGCCAGCGGGACATGGCGAGCGATGCTCGTTCGCGAACGACACTGAACAAGATCGATCCTCGACAACGAGGAATATCTGCTGTTGACTGGCATGAGCTGTTGTTCCATTGAAATGGCTGGCACGATATTTTGTCGGCAAAACATGTCTGCCTTTTTAGAGGTGGGTTCTGCCATTCAGACTGCGATCCAGTCACCCAATCAAAGAGACAACGGATGAGTACAGGGTCAAACGTGGCATCACCTCAGTGCCACATGCAACCCGCCCCAACAGCTGAATGCAATGAATTACAAACCCCCCTCCCTTCAACTGCACGGACGTGTTGGCCATGAAAAGAACACATCTCGGCAGCCCGTCCCCACACCCCATTTTGCGTTGCGGCAGCGCCACCAAATCACCGCCACCGGTCAGCAGGGTCAGGACATGAGCTGCACAATCCATTGGTGCTATAATGAGAGCGAACAACTGACGACGGACGCTAACGCCTGAGCCCGGCCCGTCTCGTCTGATACGAGGCATAGCCATGGGGTGGACGTCACGCTCCTCACCCTATTCGCCAAAGATAGCGTGGCACAAAGGCTGCCGGCGTAGGGAAATTTGGTGTGTGTCTGTGCTGATCGAACTCTGCTGACAGCAGCTTTGCCTAACGGGGCTCAAGGACCCGTGCTATGCTCCTGGTTTGGCCGCCTGCCCGTTGGCCCCACCTCCCCTGCTGTCCTATCCACACCTTGGCAAAGGCGGAACGAGATCCGCTGCTTGCCACCACTCTGGAGGTGCAACGACGATGCTTGCTGATAGTGATGAGTGCAACCGAAGCAGATTTGGGCCGCGGTGCCACCAGTGGGTCGCCTGGGCTCAATGAATTGATGCTAGGGCCGTGACTCGTCATGTTCTGCCACCAGCACTCGGTGAAGGTGAATGGCATGAACGATGCCGCAGTGTGCCTCAGCCTCCTATTTTGATCATGGCCCGATTCGCGGTTCTGCTGAGCTCAAACATGCCTGCATGGGCCGCCTTCTTGCGCTGTATGGCGGCCCAGATGACAGTCCGTAGTTCGTCATCAGAGGCGCCATCACGCATGGCTTCGCGCAGACTCACTTCGTTGGCGCCAAACAGGCAAACCTTGAGGTTGCCATCCGCCATTAACCTCACCCTGAAGCGCCAACAACAGCCCACCTTCATGTTTACCATGCCACGTCGCAAGCCACGGCGCAGTGTATTCGAAGTGTGACAACATTTGCGACGATGCAACGTTTGTCTGCGAACAGGAGAACAAAAATGCGCATTCCTTATCCTCGGCTATGAGTGCCTTTTCCATATTTTGGAGGAAACTGCTGAAGTCTCTGAGTGCACATGACACAGAGCAGCACGTACAACAATAGAACACAAACTCACATACACAAGGCCCCAGTGTAGCACGTGAAATACAGTCCTGTACAGTATGGCACAATACATTATGGTGCAGGGACAGAGCACGCCTGCAGCCAACATTGCACTGACAAGTACTTTGTGAACAAGAGCGCCAGCAGACTGCCTGGCAATCCTACTGTCATATTGTTTTCGTAAACAAAACATTTTCCAGCAGCCACACTTCTGTGATGTCATCTTTTTGCATTTGCAATACTGGGTTCCCATTTCAGAGCCTGCAATCGCCTTCCCCTGATGAGGCGGCAGAAGACACATTGCACAAACAAAAGAACATGTCACACACGGGAACACCCTCCTCAACCCAAGCAAAGTACTGTGAGAGATTCGCTGCCATGCTGTGGACAATGATGTGTATATGGAAAAGGGGAAGCAGCGCATAAACCTGCGCATAGAGCAACAGAACACAGCCCGAGGCCTGCAATGTGGCACAACACACATATCTTCTAGCTATTCAAGACATTCGAGGAGTTTCTCACCAGCCCCAGGACTGTGGATTCCCAAATTTCAAGCGTTGTGCCAATTCTTGTCACTTTGTTGCAAGATGGCATATACCCCACTTCCCTGCTGTCAGAGCGGCTGTGTACCTGATCCCTTAAAATGCACACATCAAGTTTCTACAGGAATTCCCAACCCCACTGGACTCCAAAGTTCCCAGTCAATGCAGACCTGTTGCAGTCCCCACAAAATGCCTTGGTCATCGAAGTCACAAACGACAGGGAGCCCTTGAAGCCAGGTATCCGAAAGTTCTTGGCCACTTCACCCTTGGGGTCTGCGCAGCGGATGGGACCCCCTGGAAAGTGTGATGCAATGGTCTGAAACATTTCATTGTAGCTGACCTGGCAGGCACAAAACAATTATTTCAAACAATGACATGCCTTCGCGTATTGGTGACAAATGCAAGGGCAGCACTTAGCCAAATTCAGGCAGTGCTATGAGATCTTCGTTGTAAGTTGCCAGCCCAAAGTCTGAACATCACCTGCCATGTCCTCTGCCCTGTCCCCTGCCCAGTTTACACCTTCCCAACAGCAGCACACAGCAACAGTACCAACCACACTTGGCCTGAAAGCAAATACGATCTGTGCCAACATAGGGCAACACTATCATGGTATCTGTCAACACCTCAGAAATACCATGTGGAGATTATCAAGCAGTGGCAATTGACCTGACCAACGAGTCAGTAGAGGGGTTGAAAGGCAGCTACTTATTATTTAAAACGTCTACTTAGTTATCCACTTTCCATTTGCTTTCAGAGCTGAAAAGTGACCTTGGTTAGAAGATCTTGCCCTATGTTTCAGTGTGCACTTTTCAGCCATCAAAGAAGCTGTGAAGAAGCTGCCATTGAAGATGGTGCATTCTGGAGTGAAAGCATGTCCCTTCCCCACGTCCCCCATCTGCACTAGCAACTACAACCTGCACTGCCTGGTGCATGATGTGGCAATATCCATTCCAGCAAAACATATGTCACAAAGTGCACTGTCCAGGGCACCACAAACATATGCACACATACACATAGTAAATTAAATCTACAAAATGAAGCAGAATGGAATTTGGTGAGCAAGGTGAACGTAATATTTTGCAGCAAGGGTAGATATGGTGATGCATGCACAAATACTGTGACCACATCCACAAATCCACCTGCCTGGCTTGCATGCCCATTCGATCAGCGGGAATAGGAATATTCTTGCAGCAACCAGTAACACGAGATCACAATATGAAACACAAATTATGGATGCAACCTGGATTCCACAAAGGTTGCGTACATATCGAACAAGAATCATACTCCATGGCATCCTAGTCCAGTAGCGGCCTTTTTGCTCAAATAGCACTCGCTTCAATAGATATTGTACCGTATACCGCAGAACCAAGCTATCCATAGAGCCTACAGTGTCAGGGAAACAGACCACAGTATTGGAACATTGTTGTGCTGCATTCAATGAAGCAAAGTGTGCAGGTTGCGGGGGCAGAGTTGCTCCGCTCTGTCCTCACAATTTTCACTCAATAAATCAACCAGCCCACCCATCAACCTATCCAAACGATCAATCAATCAGCACGTGGAGAAAGCATAGCTAGCTTGGAAGCGTACCAGTTTCCTGCCTGACCACAGGTTGCCATCGAAGGGCATGAACTCGATGAACCTCACGTTGATGGCCTTTTCTCTGGTCAGCTCCACAAAGTCCAAGATTTCATCATCGTTCTGATCCCTCATGACCACAACGTTCACCTTCAATCCAAGAAAAACTGCATCACCAACAATTTCGCTGGCCGAAAGCTTGTGTTCAAGAGTCTAGGTGAGAACCTGCCATGGCTATTCTGCCCCCACATATCACTGCAAGCTGCAATAGTCAGTTTTTATTGCATTCCCCTCAGTGACAAGCCATTGTCTTTGCCACTGGCAGGCACTGAAGGCCTTTCCTCGATCCATACATCTGTCCACAAACTGTACAAATGGCTATTGGAGCCTGTCCTCACTACATGCATATCATTGCCTACAAATCGTCAAGATGTAGCGAAGAACAAGCCCGTGCACCAGCAAGGCGATGTCAGGCACATAGAATCATGTGCAGGTTGTCCAAAGCATGATCGCCACAAGTGCCAATACCTAGATTAGGCTGTCAGACATACCCAGCCTTCTGCTCTTTTGATTTGTAAGAGAAGCAGATACTTGATACATTTTCTGTCACACATGCCTCAAAACTTAATCAAGATTTGACTCTCACCGCAGGTAGCAGGGGAAGCACAAAGTTTATCAAAGTCAGCAGGTACAGAACAATGCTGAACACTGCGCCCAATCCAAAGGATGCAAGGGCAGGTGTCAACCATGCAAGATGCCATCCTTCATCGCACAAGCCAACTTCTGCAAGGTGGCCTCCTTGACAAGAGAAGACATATTTCTTGTCCCCGATACGTAGAGACCAGACCGGTATCTGGACTGGTACTAACACTGCCACCTAAACACTCAAAACCCCAAACCTTCAACCTTACAAAAGCAATCCCTAACCCTTAACGACCAGTACCTATACCAGTCTCCGTCCCTGTACCAGCACCAGAGTTGGTTCCAGTCTTGGTCCAGTCCAACGTCTGTGTATTGGCCAGATTGCGAACATGCTGCTATCAAACCTGTTTCATTCCTGATTAGTTTAAGGCGCAAATGGCACACATCCATTCATTGGCTTGTGTGCTGCTAGGTCGCAAATAGAAAGTCAGGATCCAAGGACGCAATCTGAGTTCAATAGGACCCTCATGATTGGCACCACACAATGTACAATGTGTGCCACCTGTTGCACATCTGGCAACCACATACCTTCACAGGATCATACCCAAGCTCCAACGCCAGGTCGATGGCTTGCAGCACTCGATCATGGCCCCTTCTCCGCGTGAACTTCTCAAACCTGTCAGGCCTCAGCGTGTCCAGGCTAATATTGAGGGCATTCAACCCTGCGTCAACAAGGCAACGATGCTGAAGCAGCTGAATGTAGATAAAGCTAACAAGAAACCAGTGCCTAAACATACCACAGGAAATGCAGCTTTCAAGCAAAGGTCGAAAGACCACTCAGTAAAAGTGCTTTAAATGTTGGAGTGAATAATGCTTTCTGCTTCTCAACTGTAACAATTATGCAAGCAAATCCCCTGAATTCCATGATATGGCAATAGAAACAAACACTTGCAGATGACAATTCTGCACTGAGCCGCTGCTGTCTGTTTATGGTCCCAGCAAAATAAACTGGCACAGCTGTGATGCACAGTGGAACATGCCATATTTGGTGATGTCACATACTACAGTGCACTATAATGTGTTGTAGTCTACCCAGAGTAGAGTCTGGTGCCAAACAGGACTTTACGAAATACCTCGATGTGGTACTTTGTTACACCAAATATGACATCACATTTTGGTGGCTCAGATACTGCCCCTATCTGAACAGAATATATGTCAATGGGTGCAACTGTTACCTGCTTCTTTCAGCGCAGGGAGTTTCCGTGTGAGTGCCAGTCCATTCGTCGTCATCGCCAGGGTGCGCAAGCCTGGAATACGTGCCAAGGCGCCAGTCAGCTCCACAATGTCCTTCCTCACAGTAGGTTCACCGCCAGTCAGTCGAATCTTGTTGACGCCATTGGCAACAAACAGCTGGGCCTGTCAATTCAAGAATGGCTCAGAAACTAACTGAAAAAGCAACAAGAATTTCGGAAACAGCCAAAACTAGCAGACCAGCCAGACATCGCCACACAGGTCCATGCACATACTCTGTCACATCTTCAACAAATGCAGACAATGAAGACTTTCAGTAGAGATACAAAAGTAGTGTAAAAGGCACTTCCCTACTTGGCAAGAACCCTGTGACAATCTCTCCTCATGCCATTGGGAGATGACGAAGAACTTTAGTTGTTCAACGAGAACAGCATGCAGAGGGCAGCGAGTTCTGCAAGAACACATGCATTCTGTGGGACCTTCAGTTCAGGTCCCACCCATCCATCGTCCCTCGTTAATCCGTTCATTGTTGCAGGGCCGAATCATGTGACCTACCAGTCTCAGCAGCTCCCGTGTTGTCAGTAGGTCATCTTTTGGTGTCAGATCCACTCCTTCGGCAGGCATGCAATACTGACACCGAAGGTTGCAGCGCTCAGTTAGGGATATCCTCAGGTACGAGTGGTGACGCCTGCGTGAATGCCATCACTTGCAGGTCAAGCAGGCTCAGCAAGACTGACTCAAAGCCCATTGCAGTGAAGTATGGGTATCTAATCGGAATATTTCCTGTCAGGACAAATTAATCACAGCAGATTTCCTGTGCCCTATGGGCCACTGCGGAACAGTTGCTAGAAGTTGACGAAGGCAAGAAGCAACAGAATCTCGATCCGATAGGCAGAAACGCCCACTGGTTGATCAAAGGGGGCAGGTCCTACCCCCGGTATTCCCAGACTCCATGGCAATCGAGTGTGCTGCACAACCAATCCTCAATCAACGAACAAACCCATTCCTCGCCCCGAGCATCCAAACGTGGAGCAACACAATCTAAACTCCACGCATCCACCTTCTTAGCTCTCCACAGCGCCAACAGGCCTCGAGGGGAAATACAGTCGTCTACCGAATTCCCTCCCCTATCCCTCTCCACACCCATCCAAACAATCCAGCGAGCCACCAACACCCCGCACCCGAACGTGTCCGTTAGCGCCAGTGCCCTCGCCGCCTCCTCCCGCCGGCGCGCCATCTCCACCGCCACCCTCCAATCCAATCCTGGCCTCCCGCCCCCCTCCTCACCCCCCGCTCGATCCTCCGCCCACTCCCGCAGCACCTGCATCCCCGCCACGCCTCCCGCGATGCTCCCCGCGGACATCATCTCTCCCAGCCGCCGCCGCTGCTCGGCCTCCTCCACCGATCCCACGCGCGCCACGCCCTCCGCCTGGGAGTGGAATCCGCCTCGCCCGCGCCCCTCCATACACCCCGGCCACTCCCCGGCGACCAGCACCGCATCCCAGATGCCGAACTGCGACAGGCACAGCGGGGCGCGCTGGGCGCCGCGCAGCGACCTGCAAACCACGGCAGGTAGCATGGCGGCCTGCGCAGGATGTGCCCGTGCCTGCGTCTGCACCCGTGTGTGTTACCGGGAGCAATCGAGGGGGATTGGCCCCGGGAAGATTGGAAAGGTGAACGGCGCGGAGTGCGGCAGGTGTAGAGGCGGGGTTCGTTTTCGTCGTGCGGGTGGTGGACCCTCTGGGTGCGGGCGAGGGGGGAAGCCAGGGGCCAAGCCAGGGGCCCAGGCCAGCCACGGGCGGAGCCATGGGGGGGGCGCCTTTGGCGTGGGGGCGCAGGGGGAGGGACAGCCCAGGTGGCCTCCGGTGAATGGGTGGCGTGGACGCCAAGTACGACGCGCCGGGACCCCGTGGTAGCGCTTTTTGGCCGCTCTGCCCAGGTCAGGAATGTGCAGAGGCGATTGCTAAGGCGTACATTTCCTCTGGTAACAGATCCATCACATGGCCAAATGCACGCGCACATGCATGCATTGTACCAAGTGCATCCTGGGACACTGAACACCGAATATTGCTCAGGCCCGTATGAGGATTCGCTGTTCATTGTGAAAGGGAATGCACGACACGAGGGGCGCCCCTCAGCAACACACGGCGAGCCTTTGCCCAATTGTATGAAAAATGATGTGGATGATAAGGCATGTGCAGGCTGCCCTGTGGGCGGGAAGGCATAACGTTGTTGTCCACGCGAGGCAATGAAGCATGCACTCATGGTGCCAGCATACCGAGGTGTGATTGTAAGGGAAGACACTATGTCGAAATTGCTAAGGTTAGCATCAATTTGACATAAGGGGGGGGGGGGACGACCTGTGAAGCTAAGAGATTATGTAATAGCAACAAAGTCGACATAAGCTGGGAAGATACCCAAAAAGCTGCTGAAAAGTGCCAATAAGCGTATGACTTGTCTCAAAACTTTCCTTCGGCGTTCAGTCTTCACAAAAAGCCCCATATAAAATCTTGATTGGCGGCCTTCAAAACTGCACCCCATCATCTGCTATAGCTTTTTGCTTCTCAGCTTTCAGCCCACTAAAATTGTTGCAGTTTTGACTGTTCTTCTTTCTTTAACACTGTTTGGGTCGCAAATAAATGGGGCTCATCAAAAAGTTAATAAACTATTGATATCACTCAGCTGGCGACCCGTGAGGTCGACCTCACGGGTTGCCAGCTGAGTGATATCAATAATTCATCTAGACGATGATTATCCAGACGTCTAGATATGTTGCAGAGGGGATGTCGATAGCCTCAGCACCTTCACCACACTGATCATCGTCAAGGTTGGGGCTCAATGAGGTGGGAAGCCCCCAAGTCATCAGCTAGGCGTGCTACATAATCTTCTATTATTGTGTGCTTAAGCCACTCAGAGCACAGGAAGATGATTTCGATGACAAATATAGACTATGGCAACTTCACCATACGCCCAAAGATTCCACTCAAATACTGTAAAGATGCTGAGCACAACGCAACACGTGGCAGCGCATCACACAGACACACATAAGTCAGACACGCCCAGAAAACGTCTTGGAGTACTGAGGAGCACCCAAGTTGCCATTGGGTGCGTGCGTTTGCTTAGGGGCTGCCCGCCAGGCGGTCTACCATGGACCGCGGCGAGACGGAGCCAGGAGGGGGGCGTGGAGGCGTCACGTGGTTGTTTGATGGGAATATGCCTCGTGGAGCATTACGTGGTTGTTGGCTGCAGGAAGTGTGGCTGTTTGATGGGACTGTGGCCCTTGGAGCATTACGTGGTGGCTGATTGCGGGCAGTGGGGCGTACCGGGTTGAGTTGCGGTGAAAGACGGGTGTGGCAGAAAGATTCCGGGTATCAAGAGAGCACCTCTCAGGAATGGGGGGTACTTGCCAGAACTTGGGGGTTACAAGTACTGGGGACGTGGCGAAAGCGAAGGGAAACTCTGTATTGTTGCCCTCGGCCTGGCAGCTGTAAGAACGGTTGCGTGGCGTTCGCTTGTGCCTCTCGCGGCGGTCTAGGCGCTCAGCCTGGCTGCATAACTCCCCTGGCCGTGTGCCCAACGCTGGCCACGGCCTGAGCGCAATAGCGCTCGACCTCGAAGGTCGCGGCCAGTCTGTGCCTTTTCTGAGCCGCTTTCCTTGCCGTTCAAGACCAGCATTGCCAGCGCGGTCGTGTTGCTGGCCAAAAATGACCACCCTTCGTCGCTGCACAGCTTCGTTGAGGCGGAAGGAAGCACCTTTCGTGTATTGTGTCGCTACGCTGTGGACAAGGCTGCCCCGACCCATGGGGCTGACCTATGCCCTGACCTCGCTGAACTTGGGGAGTGGCTGCGACCGGTTGTGGCCTTCTGGGGGGCAGTTTGTGAGAGGTTGCACGCTTGACGTTCAATTGGATGCTTGCCGTTCGTCTGAAGCTTCCGTTGCCGTCGCTGCTATTTTTGTTCGTTGTCATCGCCTCGACACGCAGTTCTTCGTGAAGAGCCGGTTCGCGCGAGGGGGAAAGCTTGTTCGTTGTGAGCACCCTCAACTGACGTGGTGCTGAGGCTGTCGACGTGGCTCAGCTGCTCGTTCAGGGGTGATTAGACTGTGCTATCTCCGGGGATGACTGCCAGAATGGACCGCCGTCCTGTACAAAAACCTAATAAATTGGCAGCGCAGCATTACGTAATGATGCTGAGTCATCCTGGCTTCGACATAAGGATTGATGCTGGGGCTGAGCTTAACGTCAAATTGACGCTAAGCGTAACAAAATAAACATAGCGTATTCCCTAATGTGCATGATCCCAACAGCGTTGTTGGGATGTTGCGTCATTAACACCCCACACGCATCTCAGAAACCAAGCCAAACCAAGCCAATCCTGTGACAAATTTGCGACTCCCGCTTTTACAGGACAATTAGACATCCTTGGGTTTCTGCCTCACCGGTGTCCTGAGCCCACCCCGTCATGTACCCCCATGACAATAATTACAAACCACCGTCAAATGTCACATTCCCGAGGTTCCTGTCCATTAAACTTGCCCATTCGCTTCGCTAGTACTTCAATGCCACTTCAGTGAGTGACTCCCCATGAGTTAGCTCCCTTTCCCGTACTTCACTCCCTCAACTCCCTCTCCATCCCACAACTAACCCGAACTCCACTATCCAGGGCGGGAGGGCTGGGTGCGAAACAAGATAAGGAGGGGGACCGAGGGGCTGCCTAAATAGCCGCCCTCCGCCGCCCCGCCAAAGCCCGCCAAACTCGAGGGCGCCCTCGCCGGCGGCACCTCAGAATGCCATACTTTGACTGACCCACGGTACTAGGGGGTGGCCAGAAATCCCAAGGGACAGGGTTGAGTAAACAATAGGTTCAAACTGCACCGTTTGAATCGCCGGTGCAGCCCACCCATCGTCGCCCTTGGCAGAAACCCATTAACAGGATAGTTAACTTCATTTACTTCCCCGATTCCAGCTTTGAACCAGGTCAGTCGCAAATGCAAATTTGCCATAAGACATGTGTCAACCCTCTATATCTAGAATGTTACTAACATCGTCGTGACCGTGGTGACCGCCATGGCGACACTACTCTATCGAAAAATTCCTTATGAACAGCTGCTAAGCGTTATCAAAATACAGAAAAATCATGCTAAGCGCTTAAAGGGAACACACCGTAACGATTTTAGCGTGCACTGGCCCAGGTTGATGCTCAAGAAATATCAGCAGAGTGATACGAATTCCCCCTATCAATACTGGGGGACACTATTTCGGGACTGAGAAAGATTTCCGTTGTACAACCGGAACCATGAGGATGTCCGCATGAAGGGTACTCAGCAAGCGCCTCTTTTGAGAGTGTGCCGACAGTCCAGTACTCCGACAATGCAAGAAGACACACGTCTGGCCATAATCTGTGCAGATGCAAAGTACATTGGAAATGCTAACCGTGTGGACTGCGCTGGCAATAGATTACTACCGCCTGGCTATTCTTGGCTTCAATCTGAAGTGCGCGCCACTCTCGTACTGCGTAGCACTGCCATGCAGCTCCGTGGACGTCGCCTGTGTATAGTGCGTCGCTGCACGTAGTCTTCCGCAATAGGGCATTGCCGTGCGGAACTGCATGCCCATGGAAGTTGGAAGACGGACGACTGGACCGCGGCAAGCCCAGCCGAGCCCTGAACTTGAATTTGAGGGCGCCGCTGGGCGCTCGAGCTTCAGCAGTACCGTCGAAGGACAGGCACTGAGCAAGGTCAAGCAGTGCTGACAAGCACTACGGAGCACTTCGCAGGAAAAATGGTGTTGCATTCAAAAATGTCCAATCGACTCTTCGAAAACTCCCAATGCCGGATCTCAATGAATGCGCAGCCAAAATTTCGGTATCGGCAGGGCGCCTGAGGCTCTCAACCCGGCGATCCCACCCGCCCAGACAGAGGGAGCTCTTCTTCCCACTGCCACACCCCGACCCGCCAGTAAGAACCCCTCTCCTGGAGCAAAAAGGGGAAAACAACAAAAAAAAACGCGTTCCCCCATAACGGAGCTGCCCTCAGCCCCCTTCCAGACTTGCTTTTTTGTTTCTGCGATCGGCGTCACCGATGCTGTTGGCAGCTGCGGGCCCCTGCCGCTCGATCCCTTTCCGCTGATCCTGATGGTCAAACAGCGCCTGCCACAGCCTCACTACCCCACACGGCATCCACATGTCAGCCAGTGCAAACACCGCCCACCGCGCTGCCGCCCCAAGCCAACGTCCCACATGAATCCACAATCTCGAATTTCTCCAGCCCTCTGCCCCTCACCTTGCGCACACTTCGGCACTCGTGCCCTGTAGGTTACTAGACAGCCTTCAAAATCCCAAAATCTCCTGATTTGCGTTCCTGACTATCCTGACCCTTCTCCTGATTTGTGTTCCTATTGGGAATAGGTTAAAATACGCAGCTTCGCAGACGCACGTCACACCGCACATGCCATACTTGCGCCCACCACTGCATCCGGCCCTCAGGCCCAGCCGCTGGCCAATTTGGTCAGGCACGACGCCAGTTCGTCCGGGTCGGACCATGGCACAACTTGGCTGGCGATCCTCTCGCTGCGCACCCGGTTGTTGGGCGCCAACATGTGCTGCAGGTCGCCCGTGCTGGCGCTCTTGAAGAAGGCGCTGCTCTTCTGCTCGTCGGAGATGACGGCAGCGCCGTTGGACTTCAGCATCTTCAGCAGCGCACAGTTCTCCGGGGGGTTGCCTGCAGGGCATGCCGCGAACAGTGCTCAGATAACGGTGCACGACGCATGCCAGCATGGGAATATACACAGTTTAGTAAGAATTGCGTACCAATCACAATATTGTGCATTGAAAATTAAGCCCTTGCGCCTTGGCGGCGGTGGCCGTGGGCAGGTGACTGCACACGTAACGTCTCCAAAGGCGGCCTCTGAACAGAGACCCAATCCCAAACCCGCACTGGCAAGATTGGTGAGAAGGTCGCAACTCATCGCTTGTGTATCTGCCTGGCACTGTTGCAGTGTGTGGGAAAGTGTGCGAGAGTACAGACATGCACATTTTGCGCAATGAAGTGCTGTCATTCTCAAGAGTGCCTATGAAGGACGGCGGATTGTTTTGCATCCATCTTCAAGTGAAACAACAGGGTTACGATGCGAATCCGTGTTGAAAACATGTGCTGATCACAACTGAGAATAATGCGTGACGGAAGAACAAACATTCAGCCTGGGGCATAGAGATGCTGCAGTCGCAAGAGCGTGTTGAGTGACAAATCCATTTGCAGGTTGCGATTCAACAGAACTGGTTGTCCAACCAACTGTTGTGCCAATACTCACTGAGCTCCTACAGTGGGACACTGATTTGCGATTTGTGGATGAGAAACGGTTCGGCTTCAAGATTCTGATTGGACACGGCACAGTGGCATTGCGGTTTTCCAGAAAGGAAAAGCTGGCTTGGGGCGCGCTTACACGAGCGTTCTGGCCTGTGAGCTATGTGTATTTCCACAAATTCCACAGAATTGCAGCACAACGAAACGAAATGCAAGGGCGCATACGAAAACAGCAAATCCAGGCAAACAGGAGTGTGGTTCAACCATTGGTCACTGCAGTCGTCAACTCCAATATTGTATAACATATAACATTAGTTGCAAGTCTTGTTCGACGGTGCGCATCAATCCATCTACTTATCCGTGGTGGCTTTCGTCCAGTGCTCCATTTCAATGTCTAAACACCATTGGACATTTTGCTGAGCGCTTTATTTTCTGCAACATATCCAAAATCAGCTGCACGTTTTGTCCTTTGCTGTATCGCAAGGCGGGCTGCACACCTGGGTAGGCTGTACGAGCGAAGATGAGGTCCCGGGGGCCCAGGCGCGTGCAGGCACAGAAATCTCCTTGCCCATCGCCCACATATGCCACCATATTGTAGTTATTCTCAAGGAGGAACCCCTCAAGCACCTGTATACGCACAATAAAACGCTTGTAAAAGAAAGGTGCCAAGCGGCGCTGTTAAAAAACGACGCCAAATCGAAGCAGATGCACAAACAAGAAATATAACTGGCGATGATTGACATCCACATGGCCCTCGCTAACAAATGACTAGTGAAACCCATGCCACCACTCCAGCTACGACGAACATTCGAATTCATAATGCCCACCTTTCCCTTGCACATGTTGGGTGGGCAGGCGGTGCCCTTCAGGGTGGTGCAGCCGTGGTCGGACTTGTGGTATGGGGAAACGCGCAAGGCCCCCGCACGAAACTCTGCTGGGTTGGTGTGCACATCCATGAAGCAGTCCTGAGCGCAGCAAGTGCATAACAACCCCTTTAATGTCCTATTCATTTCTCGGTTTAGTGTTTCTTATTTTGTTTGCTGGTCCATCATGAATCGCGCCCTTCCACTTTGACACTGGTGCCATCTGATCAGGGGACGCGCCCACATGTTCAGAGAGACCTGCAGAGAACCCTTGCAGATGATCACAGCACATTGTTGTGGTCATGCAACAGCGATATAATTGTACGATTGGTGTTCAATCTAAAAAGCGTTGCATATCACACTGCATCCAATTCATTCCATGGCAATCCTTCATGGGCGCTAAACCGCCTTTGAATCAACATTTAGCTGATTGTTAATCGGCTTAACACATCTTCAAAAGTATGTATGATTAAACAATTTCTGGAAGAATAACAGATGCACAACAACTAACAGAACAAAGACATAAAATTTAGCAGGAAGAACAACAACACACAAAGAATATACAACAATGGCATAAAAACAACGGTGAGGCTTCAGACCAGCACCCCGCTGGAAGCTAACCTCCGAACAGTTTTCATGGCTAATCATCAATGCGTGACTTCAACACATTAATTGCAAAAGCCAACATTATTAGGTTACAAAAAAAACGTTTCAAATGATGTTTTATCAGCAAATGCCTTGAGGCATCCCCCGTCATCGCCTGCTAGGGTGCAAGGGCTCGCTTTGTCTTTCAAGTGCAAATTCGTGAACAAAGGACAAACAGAGACAAGTAAAAGAGTACTGATAAAAGTAATGATCAAAAGTACAAGGATTCTATCCTGTAGGAATGGCAGGGATCGTCCCACCTCAATGCCGTGCTGCTGCAGGACCGACAGAATGGACACGTAATTGGCATCGCTCAGGATGATCTGGTCACAGGTGTCCAGCAAGGCCAGCTTTTGTATCACCTGTGCCAAAAATATTGCTTTTTTGCTTCTGGACCACAATGCAAAGCAAATGATGGGAAAAGAACCCGTGGCCTGCAGGGCTGGTACACTGGAGGAGGTGGCGGAAAGAGAAGTTTTTGAAACAGCTGGCCACTCTCAGTACCAATAGTACAATGACATATGCAATTGACGCCAATAACAATTCCATTGAAGTGAACAAAAGAGAGGAGCCGATAGTGCCACTGCTGGTGGTTATGAGGATGCATTAAGTAAAAGGTATACATGGTGATAAGAACACGAAGAGATCTGCATTCCAATAGCCAAATTTACGAAAATAGACGATCGCAGAGCACATACGGCCATGACACAAGGACATCTGATCAACCAGAACCTTTGATTACCCCCAGTGCCTTTTCAACAGGCAACAAGTCATGATGCACACACAGTTCTTGCTTATCATTTGACAGCCAGTCGATGAAGTCAAATGGATAAGACATGGCCAAAGGTGGTTATTGTTCGTTCGTGGTTGAAAAGAACACGAACAGCTGACATCGAACGATTGCCCAACGAGCCGCAGCTATTGCAGATCTAGAACAGAAAGAGCAGAAAAGGCTCATTTCGATCAACAAACAGTGCCAACATCCGTTTCCAAGCACGAGGCATGCATCAAGTTATCAGTATTGATGTACCTCTTTGGTGGATTTCTCCAAGGGCAGCGTCATCAGTGCATCCAGTGCATCTTGTTTGGACACGCCCATATCATCGTGGGCAGCAAGGAGGGTGAGGTCCATGGATTGGTTCCAGTGCATTCCACCGTGGATAAGCCTGGGTCATAGATGGCAGCACAGAAAGGCGTCACACCATTGAGCTGTTGAAGTATCCAGTCACATAGTGACTCCATTTGCGCCCGCATTCATACCTGCGGCAACACAAAATCGGTACTCTATTTTGTTGGACAAGGCGTGGAGGTATGCAACTTAAAGAATAACTATTTGGTGATAATAGCAATACTGGAAAGTAGGACATGGTAGCGTCGGACTCTTGCTCAATTGTACACATATTTGGGATTTGTCTGGTCCCCATGCTTGGGGAGTACATTGCACAGACAGGACAGATATGTGCGAGTGCCAAGTCATTATTGATGCCTGCAATAGCCTTTACCGCTCCAGGCATGTATGCACTCAATTACGCAAAGGTCATAGTTACATATATTCCCATCAATATACAGCAATGCACTTCGAAATTACACGTTGTTGGTGGTACAAGTACTATTCACCATATTGGCTTTGCAACATATTCTTTGCAGTCACGAAAATCACACAGCAAATGCTGTGCTGACACCTATTTCATGTTGAGGTTCGTTGCACTCTTACAAGACACAATGTCTGTATATCAGACTCTGTGGCACACACACCATGCATTTGTGTGATTTAGAGGGAAGGAATGGCATTGCCTCACCACCGTGCTTTGAATGCCTTGGGAAAAGGTGTGGAATGGCATGGCCCTCGGTTTGCCATTCTGCTTGCAAGCACAATCGATACAACCCGATGCAACAGAAGGAACGTACAAGATTCTTAAGGCAGCACCAAAACTGGAACAATCAACAGCCCACAACTCCTGTGGCAGTGGCACAGGTCCCACTGGGAGAGACAGGCCAAACCACCTTGCCCAGTAACTGTTGAGGCACCTGCCAACGATTCAATCGACCAGGCACACCCATCTACACATTGGGAGTTAGAAGCTAGTGGGACCATCTGGTCACCGGAATGCATTCAAGTGAACTGCGATGGGCTCTTGCAAACAATGAGCGTGTGGGGAGCAGTCACAACTGGGAATGTTACTGAGATGCCAGTTTGAATGTGTGGACACCTTTCGAAAATATGGTGGGCACCGATGCCTTTGACCAGTGTCTCGTCACTGTCCTTGTTGATCAAACTCCAGTCGAAATCCCACACCACCAATGCTCGCCCAGCCTGAGGCAAGGAGAATGGGGTTAATAGAGATTTCCAAGAAATGCAGTTGGCAGAATATGGGCCAAGAAGCCAGCAAGTAAAATGTTCAATGGAAATGGCCACCCCTGCGGAGAATATCCAACCAGCTTCAGTCAAGCAGGCAATTAGCAAATATGGATCATATGAAGGCAAGAAGGTATAAATCAATATGCCTACTTTGTCGAAGGACATTGTCATCAATCTGTTTGATGAAAGCACCTAGGCATTGTCCAGGTGGTGCCCATCGGGATTCTAATGGGAAGCTATCCAATGCAATGAGTTTGCATCAACTCTCTGCTGGCAATTTTGTGACGCGTTGCTTGGCATGCACATGGACAAAGCTTGTTCCATGTTGGCACATGCTGTCAACGAGGATTTGACAACCAATACTCAGGTGACAGAAACCTCACTCAACTCAAATCACCTCCACAGCACTTGCAGCCAGAAGTGACGGAAGTGAAAATGCTGTTCCAAACCTTCCCATTCAAATCTGTGACTGCTGCCCACCATTGATGTTGGACTCATGACACCCATCTGGTAGATGTTCACAGGGTTGATGAGGTGGTCTCCTCGAATTTGTCTCAACTGTCGCCACCAGAAATTTCTTGCAAGAGCGAATCCCAGGAACTCCCGACTTTCTTCTCGCTCGGGCAGAGACAATAATACCTGCATTAGCCATCAGAAACGGCACATGGCTCAGCACTCAATTTACCTTCCTTATCAGCTTGGGCTTTCTGCACTTGGCCATGTGCCAACCCCATTGTTTCATTAACAGTGGCTTCAAAAGTTGCATTCGTTTTTCTACTGGGTCAAGACTTCAAATTCAAATGCACAAACAGAACTTAGGTGTCCAAAACTTGATGCAACATACTTGGCATAAACACAGAAGCCACAATGCACACAGTGTTCATGATCATTTCGCTGTGCTTGTTCGCAGCCCTGACATGACGTTAGCCACCATGTCCGGACCTGCTTCCAGTGAGTTTTCACCTAACACCCAACAGCCCCTTCACCGCAGGTGGCACAGTTGAGAGAGCAATTCCGCCCCAAACTATCCCAGAATACCAACCGTATTGGCAATGCACACTTCATGTCAATTTCAAGCGAATTCCTGCATATGGTGAAATGCAGTTGTTGTTATGGGTGTTGTGCCAAATCACACCTTATTTCATTGCTGTTAAGCATTCACTGAAAAGACCCTGCTCCCAACAGCACAAACAAATGTCTCTGGCCTGAACCACCTTTTGGCAGTGCAGGTCAAGAATAATAATAGAGGGGTGCAAGTCCATTCTGACAGTGCCCCACAAAACAATGTCCAGTGTACACGGCTGCAATTTGGGAGCATAGCATCAACGCGTTGTTGTTGCTGCTGTTGTTATTATGACTATTATTTCCTTAATTGCATGGCGTTCACTAAGCCCAACTCCACTCGCAACAGCATAAACATGATGTCAACAGTCTGTGTCACCTTTTGGCGATGTAGGTCAGTAGTAAGAACAGAGAAGAGATGTCCATCCAAAGCAAGGTTCATGTACAGAGGTGGCTGCCGACTGGGAGCAATGGAGTGATCAAAATGCAGCATCTAATGCCAGAATGCAGCATCAGCAGGACTGCATCAGACGTCCCAGTGTACCAAAAGTCCAAAATCCCAGAGTCCCAAATGTGCAAATCCCAGAGTTCCACAGGTCTGAAAGTCTTGAGAATCTCACTAAGAGTCTCAATAAGAAATAAGAATAAGAGACTCAAGAAGAAACATCCCAAACTGCAGAAGTGCAAAGCCCTAAACACCTGAAAGTCTCTCATGTTGTTGCTGTTGTTGTTCAAATTACAAGCAGTTGCAACTTTACAAAAGTGTCACATCTCTGTGGCAACACAACACACCTTGCATGACAACTGCAGAAATGCAAGAACTGCAAACAAGCACTCAAAACGAAACTCACCCGTGTATTGGGATGGGGGTGCAAGTATGCTTTGATCGTGCTGGTGAGCCTTGCAAACTGACCTGGGTCGTAGCAGATGTCGGAGCCCAAGATCAAGTCAAAGCGACGCTTCCCAGGTGAGAAGCGGTGTCTGCGCAAGCTCTGACCCCACACTAGCTCTGCCACAGCCGCCTGTGGCTGAGATCTGTGAACAAACGGACCATCCAAGTGTGAGCCTGGCTGCCTCACTATCACCATCGCAGTGGAGGTGCGGGATTTGGACACTTGTGACCACAAAAAACAACACCACATTCGCAAATAAATTGTGGAATGGTCTGAGCCGAACCATATGGCTGTGAATGGAGTCCAATAAGGGAAGCTGATGCCCTGGTTTTCTCAACTCATCTTCCTTCTCGAAAAAAATGCCTGTTCTAGCACAATATTGCCAAGGAGTTTGGCAGGTCAACGTCATCTTGCTATTGCTCAAAGCCAAATTGGAGAAGGTCTGCTGCAGCACTCTGGTTATAGCCTGACCAGGGCCAACAAACTCACAAGAACAAAAGGAGAATTAAAATAAGAGAAAAAGACAAGACAGTGCTGTCCACTGGGCTGCTACAAACTCTGCTATGTCCCCCAGTATGCTTGCCTTGTACCTCCACAACACTCGAATACACTTGCGCCAAAGTTCTCAGTGATGTTCCGCCGCATCAAGGGCAGCATGGTCTTTACGTCGGTGAAAACCACGCGCGCACCACCAAGGAGGCAGGCCTTGCGATGTGAAGTGCCAAAACCAGGTTGGCAATGGAAAATGAAAAGCCATGAAGAAATTGTGGGTGTGACTGGAAACGTGATAAGGGGAGTTGGCACACAAGATGGGTTGAGAGAGGATGTGCACCCCGGATAAGCCAAAAAACTACATGCCACACAGAAAAAATAGGTTTATGGTGACATAAGAAACATATTTTGACAGACACGAGGGAGAACAAGTCAACGAAGGTGTACACAGGAGCTCCAACTCACATCAACGAGCAAAAAAGAATGCCAGAATAAGCACATGAACACTGAAATATGGATGCCATTGCGGGCAATGTTGTGTGATGCCTGGGGGGGCACTCCGTGAAAGAAGAGCAGAAATAGATCTCAAACATATTACATATTTATCCTTGCAATTGATTACGCAAAAAGCACTCAATATGAGTGCGCCCATCCCATTCATTTGATCCTTAGTTTGCTGTGTACAGTGTCAGTACCTGTCGAGTGGCAAGTGCCCAGCTGTTGCAATTCAATAAATTTGTGAAATTTGGTTGAAGCACTGCCCATGCATTTATCTGGTGTCATGCCCAGTTTGTTGATACTCAGTGTTTTGCTGGCCTTGAATGGATGCATACCACTATTCGGTGTCCAATCCCAGTGATTACTAAGGAGCAGCAGTAAAGGTACAGTTATCATCCTTGAGTTTAGGCGTTCTCTTCATGAGGTGAATCTTTCAGGTCTTGCATCGCCTATAGTGTGACTTGGTGCCAGACAGGGCCCACGTATCTTCTGCCAGGATGGTGCAACACCTGACATAGAATTTTGGAATCAAAATAATGACGATCATAAGTGCTTGGCTATCCCTGTCCTCCTGACAGATGTCGCACGGGGCAGTGCAACCTGTAGTTTCACCTGGGCGACCGAAGAAATGGATAGCTAAACTGTTTTGGTTCAAATCCACAGATCCCAAAATACGTTTTCAGGGAGAAACAGTGCCTTGGCGTATTTTCAAGCGACTCCAGGGAACTGCTGTTGCAGCGGTCTGCACCCGACACCGTGCGAACGGCGACGCGCGAATAACCGGGCCGGCTCCAGCACAATCACCTCGCCCGCAGGCCCCCCTTCGACCCCCGACCCCGAACCCACCCCAAGAACGTGCGTTCACCGAGCCAGGTCGTTTGGAGAGACCGGACAGTTCCAGCGCGCCCCTTGGCGATAATTTCTCAGCGCGTTGCGAGCACAAAGCACATATGGATGTACGAGAAGCGTACGGCACGCCCGCCACGCCAGGCACGCTGCGGGCCGACCGCCAACGAGGCTGGGAACGACACCTGATCGCAAGGGCGCCGGCGTCTTGCTGGAGTTCAGCGCGGGAAGGCAGGTGGCGCTTGCCATCGGGGAGCAATGCCATCACGGAGAGTTGCGTCCATTCGACACGTTGGACGGCGACAAGCAGTCAGGTCGCGCCGCGCAGGCCTTTGCGGTGAGAGGCCGCAAAGGCTCTATCTCGACGGGGTCCAGAAATGCGCGGGGCGGGGGCGCGACTCTTCGCGAGGGTGAGCGGCCAAATGCTCCCGCACTTGCGATTTCGTCGCCGCGGATTCCGATCCACGAACCGGCGACATGGCGCGGGGACTAGGCCGACCCGGCTGGTTGTCTTCTCCCCCGGAATCGGCGCGATCGGCCGACGCCATGTCGCCTCTCGCCGATAACGCACCTCGAGAGTCTCGACAAGCCTCACCAGTCGCCAGACGACAATGCCGGCGGCCACAGCAACTCGAAAACGTCCCTTTTCCCCCCACACTCTTCTTCCCCTTTTCTCCTCCCCAGCCACTCCAGTCGCCATCAAGAGCACCACCATCCCCCATCACAAGTCTCGCCATCTGCCCATCTGCGTACCTCCAAATCTCCGTCCAACCGCGAACACATCGATCCCTTCCCCCCTCCCCAATCCAGATCCCCCCCGGGGGCCCCACCTGTCCGGGAACGCCCAGCCCCGCCCCCAGCTCCAGCACGCCCTTGCCGGACAACCAGCCGCGCCTGAACCCCGCCAGGTACACCGCCAGCTCCTGCGCCGCGGACCACAGGCTGGCGCCGATGCAGTAGCCCCAGGCGTGCAGGGGGTCCGACAGCACCGCCAGCGAGCGCCCCTGGCCCAGCGACACGCGGTACCGGAATAAGTCGGCCGAGGCGCGCGGCGATCCGGGGGCATATTCGTCCATGGTGCGCGGCCGCTGGCCTTTGGAGTCGGGGGCCACGCAATGGCACCAGGGCGCCGGGGGCGAGTTGGCATTTTGAGGGCAGGGATTTGGCGAGCACCGTCAGCGGAGACGACGAGGTTAGGGGGGAGTATCTTTGATGCTCAGACGTGGGGTGCTCGGGCCGCGCTTTTTGGCACTTTTTGGGCTTTGTGGGAGTGCAGTGTATTTTCACTGGGGGGGAGGGGGCGTGAAATTACTCCCTCTTTTTTTTCGGGAAACGCTGTTTTCTCTCTGCCTTCCAATGTCAGCATGGAGGCCCCGGACTGGGGCCGGGTCGCGCCGGGGCGGCCCCGCTCGGCGTTTCGTTAAAGCCGCCGTGTCCCCCCCCCCCCCCCCCGGCCCCACGTGGCCGGCATCATTTCCGGGCCCCGGTCCGCCCGCAACATACGGTTCAATGTGGCGTGTACCGTCTACCACCGTGCCCCCCGCCGGGCGCGCCAAGTCGCCCAAGCCACCACGACCTGACCCATCGCAACAAGGGCGCCGAGCGCCCAGTGACGCGGAGGCTCGCGTGGCTCTGCGCAGCGACAACCGCCATGCCCGTTTCGCGAGACGCCCCGTCTCGCAGCGCAAAATGGCGGCGCAGAGTGCCGAAAGGCCCAACAAAGACGATCTTGGCCAACGCCGATCTCCGCCAACGCCGATCTCCGCCAACGCCAGCCAGCCTGCTCAAGGGCAGTGGCGTCCACGGTGCCTGCTCGGCCCAGCACAGGGCGCGCCAGGCTGTAGACCGCTTGAGAAGAGGAGCAGTCACGAAGGACAGGATGCCATGCTGGGCGACAGAAAGGAGAGCAACACAGAATGCTCGACAGAATGCCCGCGCAAACGCCATCACCCCAAAGTACTGTAGGCGTATTGTGGCTGTTTTTGCTGCAAGCTATGTATTGAAGCACACTGCGTCTGCCAACAGAAGCGCGAGCGTGCCAGGAACGTTTTGGGTGCGATCCCACCGCAAACATTATGTATTGTATCAATTGAGGTTGACAGGCGGAGCACACCAATTGCATTCCCTTTGACAAGTGGGTTGCCTAGCCGGAGTGTGCTTGAAGCCTGTGCAAGGTGCGCAGCTTCCCGCTGAGCTTGCGTGCGCCACTTTTCCACATCCACATACAACTGGACGAACACGACTTCCTGCCATCTTGATACTTCATTATTTACAGCAGCTTGGTGGCCACCTCAAGATACCTTCAACACCCTGCACCATACATGTGCTCCTACTGCTTTCTTACATGCGGTTCTTTCAGCTTGCATTTCCCTGCATAGGGCATGTCCCAACTTGCTATCTCTACATTTAACTTTCTTCCCGTCAATTCTATCTACATTAATTCAACGAGTTTGAACTTCAATCAACTCATCAATTCAGTCGATTCATACTGTCCAGACTCCCAAACCCATCGGTGTCTGAGCATCCTCAAGATATCTTCCTTCGACGCCCTACACCTAATATGTATTTTCTAAAGTTTCCTTATATACGGTTCTTTGAGCTTGTATTTCTCTGCATAAGGAATGTCTCAATTTGCTATCCCTACATCCAACTGCTTTAAAAAAAGTGGAAGGAAAAACTAACTATTGACTGCGCAAACTCAATAACGACCAGCCCCCTCCACCAGCATCTTTTTGACGTAATGATCGGGAAATGTGGGTAGGAGAAAGATGCAACAATCTTGTGATGGCAGGCTGGTGTCAAGCTGGAAGAAACAAGAGTAGCAGCAAAAACGGTGTCAACCTAGTGGATGATCCCAACTTACATGCCAATTGCATCTACATCAATCAATTCAGTCGATTCATACTGTCTAGGCTCCCAAACCCAGCGATGTCTGAGCATCCCCTAGCCAAACATGGCATCTTGGACTATGACCTTCCATCCAAGCTTGGACTACTAGAAGATGATGAAACCCAGGCACCACTCTCGAAAGGCAGGACCAAACGAAGAATAGTCCACAGCCAAACTATCAGATTATGAACGGTCAGGACAATTTATTACCGGGTTATGAAGTGTATGGGTATAATGACAGTACACTAAGGCGCCGGTGTGGGTGCCATGACACGGATTCTTTCCGCACTGGTGGCCCGCGAGCTTACCACCGTACTTATATGGTGAGTGCGGTGTAGTAATGATCCTTTCTCGCGCAAGCAAACTGCGCCCGCGACCCGACCCCGCGACCTCGGCCGACCTGGCCGGCGGAGCCCACGAGCTCGCCTGTCCCCGAGCATACCGCCACGAGCGCCGTGCCCAGCACGCGCAGTCCAACGATTCGGACCCGGCGGAGGCGGAGCATCGAGCGGCTAACCACCACGCGCATCGGGGGCCCCCTCGCGATGGTGGGGGCCCGAAGGGAAGCCGACAAATTTTGGTTTCAGAGCCTGGATTTCGATGCGCCGAGCACGTGAGGACGGGCGCTGGGAGCGCAGCAACGCAGCCGAACAGAGCGGCCGGTGTGACTCGAGAAAGGAGGCCACATCCAAGACCAATTGCGGCTCGAACCGGCTGAGCCGAGAGAGCGATTTTTGGTGGGTCAGCGAGTGAATTCTCGCCGAATCGAAGTGCAGGTCGGCGCGCAGAGTTGCGCCAAAGCTGGCGAAGCGGCAGTGAAGGACGCTGAGCGCTAATTCGAGCGCCATCCCGGGTTCCCACGTCGGGTCCGTTTGAATCGGTGGGATCTCGGCCGGAATTGGTGACGGAAAACGCGAGCTCGCCTGTCCCCGAGCATACCGCCACGAGCGCCATGCCCAGCACGCGCAGTCCGACGATTCGGACCCGGCGGAGGCGGAGCATCGAGCGGCTAACCACCACGCGCATCAGGGGCCCCCTCGCGACGGCGGGGGCCCGAAGGGAAGCCAACCAATTTTGGTTTCGGAGCATCCGGTGTCACTCGGTGCTGCGTCAGCGACAGCATGCGTCGCAGTGCCCCGCTCGACATCACATGACAGCGGAATTTTCGAGTCTTTTCCGCTGTAGTCCGCAGCCACACTTTCCGCGCCTAAATCAGCCTGATTTGGCTGATGCTGACTCAACCTCATGCGACCTGGTGCGGTGTTGCGGCCGCTCTGGGCCCCTCGCAACTCCGCCGCCTCCGTGCAGCGCGACGGCCCGGACACGCTCTCCCCGCTGTCCGTGTCCATGGCGTCGGCCAGTTGGGCCTCCTGCGACATGGCCCTCAGTCTCCAATCGCTGCGCACGGGCAATCGCAACCTCGCCGCGCGTTGCTGTTTTTCGCCACCAAGATGCGCGTCCAGAATCGACCTTCCACTGCAATTTTCCGCTGGCGCCGTTCACAATCGAGTCGAATCTTGCGTTCCTTTCCACTCAATGCAGTCCACTCGGCCCGGCGACGGTGCTGCACGTTCGATTCATGAGTTGGCTCACGTTTCTCGACTTTGGCAGACAAGGGAAACTACAACCAAGAGGAAATCAAGTCGAGAGAGGCGTTCCCCATCAAGGGAATTGGCCAGGACAGCGGCGACCATGCAATCCGCCATTAAGGGAGTGGAAAAACAAGTTCAAGAATTGTCAATTGCCAAGTCCCAGGATGTGCAACATGTCCGGGAGGCAACCCAGCGATCATTGACTGACTTGCAGTCAGTCATGAATGCCGCCAGCACCCATCGACAAGTTCTGGAGCAGAATATGGAGGCGTTGAGAGCGAATCAACACCAACAAGCTGCATCAATTTCGAGTCTGCGACAGGCGGTCAGTTAGACGTGCTTCGAAGCCACTGCAATGAATGTGGCTCAAGGATTAGCGACTAAGATGGACCAAGCTGGAATGGCGCAAGCCATCGAGGAGCGTCTGAACAGACAGCAGAGTGACCTGTCCGCAACGGTTAACCAGCTGAAATCTGAGCTGGAAACACTGAAAACGGACACTCAGGTCAAAGACGCATGGATAGAGGGATTACAGGCGTCATTGGAGGAGAGCCAAACAGCCATGCTGGAACTACAGAGCTACATTGAGGCCGTCGAGGCTGCAGCCTTCCCTGACGACATGCCTATGGATGCTGACAACACTGTGCGCATATCCGACATTGCAGCACCCGCGACTGATGAATTGGGGTTGCCAATTCTGCCTCCAATGAAGGCAGAATATCGCATGGATGTGGCAACACCCCCATTTGTGGACTGCACAAAGTCTATGACGCCTGCCATTTCGGTATCGAGACCAGAACTACCGCAGCAGCCTTTCATTCCCCCGACTCCACCAGTTTTTCCAAGACCTGCCCTACGCCAAGGCTACCACCCATCTTCTGCGGATCCTACTGGACCATCGATTCAAGTCAAGCCAAGGGAACCAGTCCCCTTCAAAGGAGAGCTGAATGAGGACGTTACTGCTTGGTTCTTAATGGTGAGAGATTATGTCCATTTAACAGGAATCAGCGAGGCCCAGAGCGTTGCCTACACGGTGACATTGCTGCAGGGAACAGCTAGGATTTGGTGGGACAGTTATCTGCATTCTACAGGAGGACAAAGACCTGTGACTCTGCTGGAGCTGGAAGGCTTACTCACCAACCGTTTTCAGTCCCCTCTGCATGAGAGGAATGCCAGGGTCAAACTCTGGAACTTGACCCAGGGACATGGTGAGTCAGTACACTCCTTTGCTTTGAGATTTCAGAATTTGCTCATGCGACTTCAGACATACGACCCCACTAACATACTCAAGGGATTTGTTCGTGCTCTTCGCCCAGAGTTGAGAATGCCAGTGGCTCAGAAAGAGCCACAATCTTTGGACGTGGCGATCCGTTTCGCTGAGCATCTAGAGCTGTTGACAGCATCCTATGGTATTGATAAGGGTGCTAGATCGCAGCAGCCATAGCAGGCTGGTCGTGGTAGAGGAGGTCAGCAGAGAGGTGCAGGTGGTCGACAGAGTGGACGTAGAGGACGTGGAGGACGAGGTCGAGGAATTATTGGACGAGGTGGCCAGCAGAGCATGACCAGAACCTTCGTTCCAGTGTGTCCTCACTGCC